TTTTTTTATCGTAACCTCATGTCTTTGCAAACCGAGGCCAAATGCAGTCCAATTGAGAGGATTTACATTTTTCCCTGCCATGCACCTAAGGGCACTACCATCTGTGAATACCTCAAATTTCTGGCTTAGGACTTTTGGGGCTACCAGTCCCAGACCCACCTAAGCGCAGGTCGTGGTTGCAGATGCTGGGGAGACTGCTTTCCATCCCCCTCAGGGGCAAGGCCAAGACAGACAAGCCACCTGCTGTCTGTGGCAGTCTCTGATCACTCTCCATCCCCAGACATGAGGATCGGCTGACGCCTTCACGGCACATGCTGACTATAGAACTTTCTCCTACTGTTTCTTCTCCTTCCCCACCAGAGTATTCAGCTGTGCTTTTAAAAAGATTTTAAATTTTATCCAGTATTTCTGTGATCTCTAATTGAATGGGTTGTTCTGCTGCATTGCTGGAAACAAGCCAGTGTACGTAGCTGGGAAGTGGTCCAGGGGTTAAGAACTTGGGCCTAGGAGTCTTTAAACCCTCCTACACCTCTTACCAGCACCTTCAGCAAGTTAATTACCTCTTAGTTTCAGTTTCTCACTGGCAAAAGGTAAGTAATTCCTACCTCCCACAGTTACTGTGAGAATTAAATGAGATAATATTTATAAGGCACTTGACAGAGTCCCCAGAATATTATAAGCATTTCTTCAGAATAGTAGCTTTTTTTTCAGGCTGTGTGGGGACCTAAACCCTTGACCTTGGTGGATAACACCATGCCCTAACCAACTAAGTCACTGTTGTTAGTGCTGCTGTGTAGCCCCCTTTTCTCATAGCAAATATGAAACTACTTGTAGTTTCCAGGCTTTCTCTATAGAATTCCATTTGCTAACTCGTAATCCACACACTTCATCTCTGCACTCCAGCTACAGGGTTGCGGGAGTCAGGACATCCGCCCCCCACGAGCCAGTTCACGCGCGGAGTTGTCCTTGAGGTCATTTCGGCTTCGTTAGACTACACAGACGCTGCCTGTGTGCGTGCTGTCCCTTCCTCTAGAACAGTTTCACACTCGGGTGTGTTTTGTTCTGTGTTTCAACAGGACAGCCTGTGGCTGTGTGAGAAGACTTGTGAGACGGGGATGTTGTCCTCCCCTCAGTACTCTCCGCAGGAGCTGACGGAACTGTGGAGACTGAAGGAAACGTGCGGTGACCCCTGTCAGTGTGAAGCAAGGTGACAGGCATTTAAATGAGCAGCGCTGAGAGATCAGGGGAGGCAAACGATAATGTGAGCGGAGGTCTGAGGAAAGCCCCGCGCGTGGCAAGAGATCGTACAGACTTTCAGGAGAGTTCTAGGCTGGTTCTTTCACCTGGAACCATTGTGGTGTTTTACTGTTTGCACAAGTTTCCTAAGTCAGCTGATACTATAGCATAAGAAAAGCTGTCATTTACATTTAGAAGATGATTTGAAAAATACCAAATTGTTTTGTAAAAAGAAAAACTATTTCTAAATCCTGATGTATCATTATTAGTAATTGATCATTACCTATCATTTTTGGTTAAAACTTGGCATAGTTCGGAAATCTTTAGTAACACAGTTGGAATTTCAACCTGGATTGTAGAATAGCTCTGTATGGCTTAGTTGGGATAATCACAGGCCAAAAAGAACTCACAGAAATGCTGTATGATCATGTGATCTCTTGTATGAACGGTGGTAACTTATACCAAAGTTTGGGATTTCTGGAAATAATGTCAGATTTTGTGGGTCTCTGAATGGAGTGTGCAACTTGAATTTGAAAAGGAACCACTATTATTTTCTTCTAGACCTTGGTTTTAAACAAGTTCTTTTGTCATTTAACATTAATCCTGAAGGCCACAGTTTAGTACTATTTTTAAAAACACACAACTTTTGTGAATATGAATACAAGCAAATACCTCTCAGGCTTCAGCGCCACGCAGAAGGGGTCTTGAAATTGTTGACCCTTTGAAAGAATTGATTTTGCTTCCTCGATCCCTGCCTAATGTTTACCTAATACAAGTACATTTCAGTCAGAGCTGGTAATCTTCTGTTTAGAAGATATGCTCAGTTTAGGTGTAACTTTAGGGAAAAGCATGCAATTTAATTTTTTAAGCACTCAAAATAGCGCGACTGAGAAGCGACAGATAATGGCATATGTTATTACAGAGTAGAGGGTGTCTAAGGGACATGTCCCAAAATGAACAACCAAATCATTCTAGTAACCTTTTAAAACAGTATCAATAGAGAATGCCATTGAAACTCGTCTTATGACAACAGCCATTAACTGTGTTCAGATTTTATTAGACTAGCTCGTTTCTATTTAATATTTAAATCTTCCCATAATTAAGTGCAGTGATGAACTGTAAAAATAAATATGAAGTAAGATCAGAAAGTCATTAGTAGGTTCATAGCCTTTATTGTTGCTATTATATACAAGCCTAGAAATGGTTTCTTCCCACCGAAAAACACATCCTTTATTAAGGCAAGTTGTAAAACCTCCTTTTCTGACAGTAGGATTGTTTCAGTCAGTTATTTCCGGTGACCTCCAATCATGATAAACAGTCTATCTAAATGTTATTGGTTGTTACCATCGCACTAATAGACAATCTCCATTTTCCACAGAATAAAACTGTAATGAGTATAGGTCATTTTCTAGTTCAATTTCTCTGCCCGGCATCTAAAATTAGAACAAAGGGGGTGGGGGTGAGATTCAGACAGACCTGACAAAGCATGTCATGCATACTCCCCCACCCGTGCCCCAAACAGCAGGTCACCCTTGCAGTCCCCCAGACGTATGGTCTCCATTTAGAATCAAGCAGTGTTCTGTGGGGCACTGAGCTTGACCTTGTGTTTTGCTGGGCAACTTACTTTGGGACTTTCATAGGACAAGAGAAGGTCTGACGCAGGAACTTTGAGAAGACGTGACAGCAGTCCCTTCACCTTTTGAATTGTCATGGAGTCTATCCAAAAAAAAAGAAACATCAGTTCTCTCAAATGGCAGGTACCTGTAAACGGGCTCACGTGCGCACAACTGCAGTGACAGCTTTATCTGTCGGTCCTCATGAGCAGTTTGCCCGAGCAAGTGACTAGCGAGAGGCTTCAGTCTTTCCACCACTTCCTGAGCTGCTTGGGAAATGAAGCCGATGTGTGACTAAGTGCCCTTTGACAGTGAGCTTTCATACTATCTCAGTAGCGTCTCGTGTTCCTTCCTTAATCTCGGTAAACCTTAAAGATACTCTCAGCACAGCAGAATAAACAGGAGTGAGATCATTAAGTTTTCTTTCTAAACCTGTGTGATTACTGCCTTCTTTCATACTATCTCAGTAGCGTCTCGTGTTCCTTCCTTAATCTCGGTAAACCTTAAAGATAGTCTCAGCACAGCAGAATAAACAGGAGTGAGATCATTAAGTTTTCTTTCTAAACCTGTGTGATTACTGCCTCCTGAGTTACTGAAAAAACACCAGAGTAGGGCTCAGGCCCCCGAGCACGTCTCAGCCTCTCTGGCCCTCGGTCCTCCCTCTGTAAAATGAAAGTGTAGACTAGGTGACCTCTAAGGTCCCTTCCAGCGCCACCATTCTGTAGTTAAACACACACGTACAAGTGACCGCCAGGCATGGGAATGTAACATAAAAGAATAAATGCTTTGGTTTATTCAGAAAACACTATGAACTTCTTTCCAAAGATGGGTTGTGGCAAATATTGGATATTTTGATTATGAGAAATATAGTTTCTTTGAAGCTTTAGCTGGGGGTGCAGCAGTAGTGTGGTGTTCCTACAAATATCACAATGTATTCAAACAAATATTTTTCTATCGAATAATTTTTGTAACAGCTGTGTGTTTTTATGCAACTTGTGATAATAAATGTTATCTTTATTTTAGAATAAAAACTGGCCTTTTTTGTTCGTGTATGTATTGAATACTTAATAGAACCTATCATTTTAATTAACACAATTTGCTCTTTTATGTGTGCAGATGTGACAGATAATACAGTCCTTTCAAAAGATTTAGGCAGACTGGCTTTCATTGTTTGGAGGGTGGTTAATGAGGGGTTAACTCTTGCACACCAGTGGAAAATGTCACATTCCTGATCCATGCCAGAAACAAAAAGTTTGGTCATAAAACAATTCTGTAAGAAATCTACCTACTTGTACTGGGTCTGTAGAAGAAAGTGGCAATTTGCACATATAATAATCTAAATAACACATGATTGTCTTAACATTCAGAAAATATGGAGATAGGCAATTGTATTTTAGCTCCCGGTGACCAGTGTTAAGAGTTTGATGGGTGTACTTCCAGGGTTTTTTTTGAGTATGGGGCTCAAGAAAACTTGGACCTGGGGGGAATGTGTCCCTGCAGTGGAGACTGGAACATTCAACCTTTAACCAATGGAAAACCGCACAATTCACAGGCTAGGCAAGCTGAATGCCCAAGTCCCTTAGGGGGAGCTTTTCTTTCTCTTTCCTACAGCCTTATAAGCACCTCCCAAGTGCCGGGTACTAGAAATACAAGGAGTGAGTCAGACATGCGTGGGCGCTGCCGCCTCCGAGCTCACGGTCTACTGACAGATGCTACGCACGGACGGTGTGTCCCTCCAAAATTCATATGTTGAAACCTAACTCCCAGGGTGACGGTGTCAGGGGTGATTGGGTCATGAACG